TCTCTCCTCATTCCCTGCCCCTCTCCTTCCCCAGCACTCTGCTTTTAATGGAGATAGAAGGATCTAGCAAAAGCCAGATGCCTTAAAGCAATTAGAGGAACATGGATGGTCTTCTCCAGGCTTCCTGATTCTCTCTCTGTTCTCCTGACCCCAGGTTTCCCTGCATCTAAAAAGTCTGAAAAAACACTCATGAGCTTTTCTACCCTTGCCATGAACTTCACACCACAGCTTGAATGGAAAATGAGTTTCCCAAATGGGCAGGACAAATTGCAATTTGGCACACGCAGTTAACAAACGTGGGCATGTCCCCAGACTTGAACATGTGTTCTGAATAACAAACGGCAGCCAGTGCATAGGGAGGGATTTCCCCATCACAGTGCATCAGGTGGTGTGATTTGTGACCCGCTGCTGAATGAGATACATACCTTTACATACAAAGAAGACTCCAGTGTGTCCTGTTAATTTTTTTTCTTATCATATGACAATTTACGACCACTGCAAAACAACTTAATTCTATTCCTCTTGCTACATAGAGTTGTAGTTCTTTAAGAAAAAAGTTCAAGATGCATTACTGGGATTCCTCAAGACACAGCTCTGTCCATTAAGGGTGTGCTAAGTTATGTCAGGTTCTGTTGTGAAGCCGGGTATGGGCCCGGACCTTGGCAGGGAGGCTGCCAAAAAACAGCGCCTTCTGGTACTTGAGTAGCCCCTTTAGAGAAGCTCCCCAAATTGACTCCCGGATCAAGCTCATAGTGCTTAGCCTCTATAACCTGGCCCCTTCCTGTCTCTTCTCGCACACCCTCCACGCTCTTTGCCTCACTTTCTGCTGATAATGCTGCTCCAGAACTCCAGGCTTTTGTCCACGCTGCTCATCTGCCTGCAAATCCTCTTCCCGCCTTTGCCTGACTTCTCCTAAGCCTGTCTCTTTTTCTCCCAGAGGCCTTTCTCCACCACCAGACTCCCGGTGTTCCCGGAGCATTCTGGGCATATCTCTACAACAGCACCTACCACATTGGTTTCAACTATTAATGTTCATGTTTCTCTCTCTTGCAATGATCAGTGGTCTCCTAAGTGAGAAGATGCACCTCAGAAAGGGGACCGAGTAGTACAGGGACCTGTCAGGGTGAAGCCAGAATGAATTAAAATAGATGTGCATTTTTTTACCTAACTACAGTATTTTTATGTTTAATAATGGGCATACTATATAAATATAGGAATATCTACATATTGCATGACAGTAAAGATATATGAGCAATATGTTTTTACTGATCACGTGTTTCTCTGGAGCAGAGATTGCCTCTTGTTAATTTCCCAATTCCTAATATGTGATTTTAAAATGATTGCTGAAATAAAATCAAGATCCAACCCCTCCTCCCTTCCACGGAAGACTGTAAATGGCCAGGACACAGTCACCACAATCAACTGCGCCACCCTTGATCTGCCCCAAGGACTGAGAGTTACCGAGTGGAGTCCGAACGACGTGCAGGGACGGACTGTTGCTGCCACAGACGACTTCCTTCCTTACTAGCAGGATTCCCTCCTCTTGAAAGAGGTTGTCATGGTGGACAACTTTGGAAGGCAATTGATTCAGGAACTCTGGGTTTAGTATATAAGGCCAAACACGGGCAGGCTCCAAAATCTTTTTTTATAGCACGTTACAGTTATTTAGCAAAACTGTATTTTTTTTTTTACCTTATTGATATAATGATGTCAAAATGTCTTTTTCAATAACATCAGCTCATATACCCTTGAATGACTGTATTATTTTAATTCTTAAATCAATTCCTATCCTTTAGGAAATAATGTAACTGTAGGGCACAATCCAGAATTAAATCTTTAGTTAAGAAAGAAAAAAATTATTCTAATTTGGAGAAAGAAGAAACACACGCAGTGATCATTGAATGAGAATCACTGCTAAGGAAAACAGTTCAGATTATATTTCATGATATGTGAACAATGAAAAGATTTTATCGTGCTTTATCTTTACCAAGGAAACATTAAAACTTATACTTTAACATTTCTAATACTAAAAACAGAGATGTATTTTTTCTTCTTAAATAAAACCCACTTGATAACATTATAGAGCTAGGACTCAGTACTAACTTTTATGTGATTTTATATCTCATGCCAGTCTTAAATCAGAGTTGAAGTTTTCTCTCCATTGTCTCACCCAACCCAATTCACTTAAATGGATGGAATCTAACTTTCATTAAATATAGAGCCATAATTATAAATCAAATAACTTCTCCCAAAGGACAGTTTTGTTCCCCAGAATGTTATTTCGGAAATCACAGCTTTGATTCATTCAGTGTTCACATATATAACAGAATTTATGACCTTTTGTGGGGACAATTTTAGTTAAGAGCTGGTATTATTTAAAATGTCAAGAACTGCAGTCCTACAGATGTTGTGCAGATGCCTCTTTCAAGCAGTTCCTAACTCACAATAAATAAAAGGCATTGCTAACCAATACAAACACGCAAAGAGCTATGACTACATAAATATAGAGTAGGATGAGCCATGGGAGCCAAGTTTTCAGAGACCGGATCAGGCCTCCTTTTTATGTGCATGTGATTTTATGCCCACAAACTAATTGCACCCATATTTGCATCTTCATGCAGGCACTTAGTCACTTGTTTCTTCATCCTTAGCATCAAGTGGTTAAAAAGAGTATCAGTTTGTGCGAAATTAGCTGTCAGCAAGGTTGAGCGGTAGACTGTGTCTGGAATACACAGACTCTGACATACTTGAGGATCTGATGAAAACGTGGCCTTCCAAAAGATTATCAAATATAATCTCATTAGAAGAAATACAGTTATGCCCTCAACATACCATCGTGCTGTTAGAAAGAAAATTAACTATCTTGGTTTAAACACAATATCTGTAGATATCTGTAGATATTGAAATCACTGAGTAAATTCAGCTCTAGAAGAGAGACAAATTCCTTATAAGACCAGTTGACGGGTTTTCCTGTAAGTGCTTCCAAAGAGGCTGCGGGGCTGTATTTCATTTTCAGCTGATGATTTTGTGCTGCCCCATCCTGACATGGTAACAAGGTCATGCAAATTGGAGACTTGGAGATCTCAGTTCTGGTCCAGCGTGACCTAAATTCTATTATTTTATTGATAACTCTTTGACCCTCCATTTGCCTCTTCTTAAAAACAAGAGGGTAGAAAGTAGAAGCTAAAAAGCCCCTTCCAGCTTCATATGAGGGGGTGCTCATACCCACTCCATGTGGACCTCTATGAAGAAAAGTCTCCACCTATTCTCTAAGGAAGTTTTCCTGAGAAATTTATCAGCAATCATCAAACTTTTAGGCTGTGTGTTAATCAAATAGGATGAGGAGAAGCCAGACAAAGATGTGCAGGAGGTTGGTCATTGATTACAAACCATGCATGCCAGGGCAGAAATAGAATTAGAAAGCAAGCTATATTCTGGATGAAAAAGACAGAAGAATTATTAAAAGAGAATGGATGGGGAAATAAGCACTTTTGAATATAGTCTTTATTTTGCCATTCAAAAGCCAGCACCTCTCCTAACTGTTCTGTGTGTTTCCTCTCCGAGGTACTGCCATTCTCTATATTGGGAAACTTTCATGACATCTTCCACACGCAGACCCTCCTTTTCTTCCATAATGACATCTAAGTGGCCAGTCAGCTCTTCAGTCTCATTCCTGTCAGGCTCATCTCTTCACTGTCCCTGAAGTATCGTCCCTTCCCTTCCTTGTCTGCAAATCTTATCTATTCATAAAGACCTCTTCACATTTTATCTGCTCCATGGAACCTTCCAGAAGACTTTGACCTCCATTACTCTCTCTTTATGCTGAACTTCTATGGCTTACTTGGGGTTGGAGGTGGGAAAACACATAAAATCTAGACATCAACTTTTGGGTACTAGGCACTACAGCTGGTGGCACACATATTTTCCTTACAGAGAAGTAAATTTAATCATGAGAAGATTAATTTATCTAATTTAAACAGTGGGTCTCGACGTTGGCTGCATATTAGAATCACCTGAAAAGCATTAAAAATATATATATATAATGCCTGGGCGGCACCTGTGGCTGAAAGGAGTAAGGCACCAGCCCCATATGCTGGAGGTGGTGGGTTCAAACCTAGCCCCAGCCAAAAACTGCAAAAAAAAAAAAAAAAAAAGAAAAAGAAAAAGAAAATAGTAATGCCTGAGTCCCATCCCCTGTGATTTGGCTTAATCGGCCTGGGTATAACCTGGGCCTGGAGAATTTAAAGTTTTCCAGGTGGCTCTAATACTGTCAATGGTGTTAGCCACAGGGCTAAAGTTGAATCAGGTGTGTGCAGTCTCCGGCACTCAGATTCTCTCCTTCCCGCACAGACAGCTTGCTCATTTATGCACTATCTGTTACCACATTATAATTATTTTACTTGTAAAAACTCCCAGTCCTCTAACTTGATTATACCTTGGGAGGTTTGGAATTACAGTTAAGAACATGGATTCTGGAGCTGACTGCCCCATTCAGATCCTGGTTCTGCCACCTTGGCACCACCTTGGACAAATTCCTTAGCCTTGCTGACAACTGGTTAAGGAGATGATAATGAGGTTTTTATGAGGCCTAAATAAGTTAACATATTAAAAAAACTTTAGAAAACTCCCTGGCATCTGTGAGGTGCTATGAATATGTTTGCTATTTTTTTCAAAAAAATTGCTATGATATTTTAACACCAATAGCACCTAACACTTCAAAAGCCACTTCAAGGTAGATTGTTCATGCATTAAATTAAAATCCTCCTGGAGAGTGAAATGTCTGTGCAGAAACAGAAGATTATTTGCCATTCCTGACATTGTGGATAGAGATGGAATAAGGCAGTTTTCTAGGATTCTTGTTAGATTTAAAAATCAAAGCAAAGAAAAAAATTTACAACATGAGGAACAAATAAGGCCACATGACTTACTGAAGATTTTGTATTTCTGTTCCAGTTGACATCGTAGTGGCCCCCCTAAAATGGTTGTTGAATGCTTTCTCTCCTTTTACTGCTCAGTCAGTAATAGCCATAAACTTTCCTATTAATTTATAATTATTTCACATATACGAGCCCTCACATACATAATTCTGACATCCGTGAAGTCATGAATGGAAAATGCAGTGTATTCATCCCTTGAAAGTAGAAATTCTTTCCACTAAAATTCACACCACACCAGATACCCTTGTTAGCAACACCACAAATAAGAGCCAGAATGGATATAGTTTTTAAAATGTTATCTTTCTAACTCAGGAAGTAACTGGAAATATTCAGCTCCTCAATATTTTGAAGGGGAACTATGAACAAGTAACATAAGCAAGACATTTAAGGTAGAGAAAGTGATTATTGGAGACATCATTGTATTCTCCACCAAGGAGGGAAATAACCACTCCATACTTGCTGATACAATGCCCCGTGTTTGCAGTCAGTCCATTTCTGAAAAGATGTACAAGGGAACAACTAAAATAGAATTATTTCTTGATGTTTTTCTAATAAATTGTTAGTGGATCCACCACACTAAAAGCTGATGTGTTCTGAATGTGTTATTAATAAAATAGGAAAGATCTTTAGTGTACAGGAAATATTCATTTATTCTATAAACATTGACTAAAGCGTGTGACCTACTTTCTGCCTGAACTGTATTAGAAACAGGAGGTGAATACAATATTGAGACTGTGCTGGGTTCTTTAAATACATTCTTCTCTTACATTCTCAAACCATTGCATGAGCAGAATAGTACATACCTCAACTAAATTAAAAAAGAAATTGAGGTGACATAACTATAATAAAAATATTCATACCTAAAAGGCCATTGAAGTTAAGGAAAAGTCTTCAAAATAATAAATTTGGAGTATATTGAAGTAGGTGTATGTTAAATCTCTTAAGACCAGTGAATACACTTATTCTTGGTTTCATTACCTAAGCATGTGTTAGCTTAATAAATATTTGAGGCCAACTGCTAATTTGGGAGGTTCCAATCTATTTTGGTCCTATTGAACTACCTAATGTACTATTTGAAACTGAGTATGATTGAGCAGTACCTGATCACTTAGGGTCTTTTTAAGATATATGGATGGTTTCATGGAATAGAGTTCATATTTGAGTTCAGCTTGACATGTATTATTTCAGAACATTATTACATGTTGCTCTGCTATTTGATTGGCAGGAGACCATGCATTGCTCCATGGGATTAATATGATAAAAATGAGCTTCTTACTATAATTTCTATAATGTCATGCCATAGCTGAATTCTAAAGTTACTTGCAGACTATAATTTCACCAATAGAAGCTGAAACAAAGGAATTTTTGCCATCTATTTCAGGCCAGTGGATTGTGCCATGCCTTAGTTGTTCAGACAACAGGACCTGTGACTGGAGAGAAATAACTTGGCAGCCCCATAACTGCCAGTATGGCATCCTAACTAAGTCTCAACTGCAGCAGTGCTTGGGAGGAAGGAAGGTAAGTTCTGGATCCAGAAGGGAAGCCTTTAATTTATGCCCCCTCCAGCACTAAAAGTCATACAGTTGTACACATATTTGCCAGACCAATTCCTCCTCTCTCTTTCTCTCTTTCTGTAGAGAGTAAATTAACTGCATGCACTTTGGATTTTTGAATCGTGTGTAGATGTTATCCTAGAAGAGCCTTAACAACTCTTGCTCCAAATATTCAGTTTTCTGCGAATAAGCATATTTAACAGATGGAGGATATTAAGGTAATGTCCTTTGCTGACCTAATTCCATGCTGTTTTCTCAGCATAAATTAGTAGGCTCTTGCCACGTCGACCGGCAGTTGGCAGTTGAAAGCAGCTGGCCTTGTCAACTGCAGCTCTGGCAGGCACTTCTATTAAAACAGACATCTGTAGCTCAGTGCAAGAAACCAAATGGTCCTGCATGCACGACTCACTTCTAGAACTTAGGAATGCATGGCATGGTCTCTCCACACTAACCTTGCTCATCTTCTCTCACGTTCCTGGGCAGGTCTCACGTGGACCTCACTAGCCTGACTTTTCCTCTAGTGAGGTTTCCAAGCTGAGGTCTTGGACATGCAGTGTCTTCTTGCTAGGCATGCTCTGACTAGGTAGAGGCCGGCCAAACTCACGGGCATGCAAGATGGGCACAAAGACTGAGATGCTTGGTTATCATCAAGTAAGTGGAATCCCTACCTGGACTTTCAAAGTGCTTGTCATTAAATGGAGATTTCCTTATACACTGTGTGTAAATCTTGCTTATCTTACACTTTAGTGAGATTTCAAAATCTGATTTTTATGAGGATTTGCTAATGCATATCCCCCAAACGGCACCAGATATCGGATGAAATATACACCAAATTCCCTACTAGGAACTAGTTTAAGGAGGATGACAGGAGGCAGGGCAGGAGGATGGACAACTTCTTCACGGTGATTTCAGGATTAATGTTCCAATTATCATGATTGAGAGTATCTCTAAAATAAAGCAGCAGCATTCATGACTTCTAAAAGTGAAGGGAAGAAAACAATCTTTTAGAGACTTAGGTTGCTGTTGGTGTTATTAACTGAGCATTGATTTTGTGGGAGGAACTGCACTCTTAACCTTTCACCCTTTAAATTCCTCAAGACTGTAAGCTTCATGAGGGCAAGGGAATATGTTTGATTCACTGCCATAACCTCACTGTGGAGCATAATTTTTGATACATAATAGTCAATAGTCATTGAGTACATGAATAAGTGAAAATCTTATTTTTCCTAAGGACAGCTGAGGTAGATATTATTATATCTGTTTTCTACTTAAGAAAATTTACAGGGATTGAGTAATACAGTGGTGATCATACATGTATGGAAGTGGCTACCATTCAGGCATCTCTAACCACCAAGTTGGACAATCCAACCTCCATATCCCAGAAATGTGACCCTGGGAACAATGACCATCGCTGTCACCGCAACAACCAGACTTCCTCTAAACTCAGAATGCCATTCTGACCTCAGAATTTAGAGCATTCAGGAAAATTCCAAGAAGATGTCACAGTCTATTAACCTGAAAAGCAAAAGATGTTCATTCAAGTTCATCATCAAATTCCACGGCTTTGGGTACAAATGTCTTGTTTCTCAGGCTCATTTTCTTCATCTGTGAAATAAGTCTATGATCTAACCCTCAGCAGCAGCTTCATCAGCTTTGTGCAAAGAGAAAGGCCTTCTTTGTGACTGAAAGTTTGGCACTTGTCCCCTGAAGCCATCTCAGAAAAATGAGGGACACAAATTTTGAAAAGAAAGAAAGAGAAGTTTACCACTTTGCCTGGCAAAGGAGGAAAATGGCGTCAGTGCCCTCAAATCCAAATTCCTACTTCTGAGCAGAAGCACAGAGCTTTTAAAGGTTCTGATCCCACCATCCCATTTTGGGCCAAGACAATCTCAAGGCCTCTGCAACAGTCTTGGGACCTCTGCCCAGATTAATCCCATCATCAGTTAAAAAGATCTTGTGATCTCCGTCCAGACAAGATTCACTTCCCTGGAGCTCTGTCCTGTGGCCAGAACATAAGAGACACTCCCTGCCCCTCCTGACCTCTGGCCTGAGGGAGGGATTCAGGTTTCAGCTCCCCAAAAGATGAGCCGACAGAAAATACTTTTGCCATTTTTTTTTTCAGGTCATTCCCTCTGAAACATCTCTGTATGTCTTTGGTCAGGCAACTATAATAAAATAGTAGACTGGGTGGCTTAAATAATAGACATGTATTTCTCACAGTTATGGAGGGTGGGGAATTTGAGATTGGGGTGCCAGCATGGCAGGGTTCTGGTAGGGCCCTCTCCCTGGGTTCTGTTGGCTGCCCTCTTGCTATGTCCTCACATGGCAGAGAGAGAAGGAGCTTTAGTTTCTTCCTTTTCACTTCTAAGGGTATTAATCCCATCCTGCAGGCTCCACCCTAATGACCTTATCTCAACATAGTGAACCTCCCCCAAGTGCCACCTCCTATAATAGTATCACACTGGGGGTTAGGGTTACCACATATGTATTTTAGTTCCATAACATTGACTTTACTAATTTCAAGGCTGATTACTAGCAAATCTACAAAAGTAATGGTTAAAAAAAGAGAAGACTATCATTTTCCTACCTGTTAGTTCTCTCGCCCTCTCCCTTTCTCAAGAGGGAAGGAGGGAGGATGAGGGAGAGGGAGAAAGAGAGGATGTTGCAAAGTCTAAAAATAAAGGCCCAGATGAAGAGCCCTCAGCTAGCTGTCTGCATGGCCGAGGGCCTATCTTTGTGACTTCTAGTCTAAAGATGTTCTTCACACCTGCTTGCTTGGAAACTCAAATTTGCCAGCACACTGCCAGTGTTCCTGCAGAGTCTAACTTGAGTAACATATAGAAATTCACTTCACATATGCATAAGGATAGCAAGGTAATATGGGCTTACAACCTCCACCCAAATGATTCACTTCCCTTGAACTATCTCCTGTGACACAAAATAGGAGAGATTCCCTGCCCCTCCTGATCACTGGGAGCCTTAGACTGGTGATCAAGAAGCCTTAGCTACTGTTCTTCATCCCACCAGATGAAGTGATTTTATTATTCATCAAACCCATCAGATTAACTCTGCTGCTCCACATCAAAAATCAGTCATCCCTAATATGTTACCAGAGAGTGAAGGCCAGCTGATCAGTTAAATTTAAGTTCCGAATACTTTTGATAACTTTCATGATATCCTGTTGTTCATGGACTCATTTAACAATAGTTGAGCCAAGTATCTGTTCTAGGAGTTTATGACCTGGTCCTCCAAGATGCTAAATTTCTGGTAGAAGACGACGCAAGAGAGACCCGATCACTGCAATATAGTGAGATAAACGCACTAGTACAGACACACAGAGAGGCAGGCACTGAACCACCCTGGGGGTATCAGAAAAAGATGCCAGAAAGAAGCTGCTGATCAGAGTGGTGTTTGTAGTTAGGGGCAATCTATGAATCGCATCACTCTGGAACAGTGTAATTGGACTAGGAGAAATAGGAATGTTCAGTTTTCCCAAAAGCATCTCCTGCCCGAGTCCTCACTCTCAGCCTTGCGCTGTCTTCGATTTTTCTCCTACCTACAGTGGTTGTGCTGATAAAGAGCACAGGACCCAAGCAAGTGGTAGAGTCACTGGAGATGATTCTTAGGTTCTCAATTTTTCACTGTGCTCCAGCTTATGAACCTTAAACATGTAAGAATAAAAGTGGGACCGAACCTGAACACACAATTTCCAATGGCACAGCAGCCTTCCTGAAGACCTTCAATTTCAGATTCCTAACAGTAAGAAATCCAGAAGTTTCCCATTTACCATGAACAAGTAGTTCCAACACATTGTGCTACAAAAACCAGAACTTAATTATCAATCCTTATCACATCACGGCAAGCTTCCACTTTGGGAACATGTGAAACGGAGTTGTCTTTCTCCAAAGAATTAAATTAAAAGGCAATAGCATTTGACTGGGCCACTGAGAAGTATTGGCAAGTTAGACTTTCAAATAGCGTTCTGCTTTCTTTAAAATCTCCAGGTAGTCCTCGCTCAGTTCAATTTCTTTCTCTTGTTATTATGACCTTTGCATCTTGTTTCTACTGTTACACATTCATGAATGCCAAGGCTATTCTTAAAAATACAAGCCTACCTGCAGGGAAGGAACAAGACACAAATCAGTGGAGATTTGGAAAGGGATTCAAGCTTCCAGTAACTTATCAAGAATCTAACCACACTTACTGGCCTGTGAGCAGGACCGTACTTTTTATATCTCTGTTATTTGCATTCATTTCAGCAACATGAACAGAGTCTTAGGTGGAAACATGGAAAACATTTTCTCCTTGGATTATTGTATAATCCATGTCTATGGCAAACATATATGTCTAGGTAGGGCAGGTAAATGTGGGACCCTTTATAAACTCCAATTTGATCCACATACTATGTATGATTTATTTCATTTATGATATACATACATAAGTGTGATATATAATTGTGTTGATTTAAAGCAAAATCAATTGGGAAAAAAGCTCTATTTTCAGTTATACTTTCACACATTTGTCTAAATAGATACCCACATCTTAACTCCCAGTGGAACGTTTATAAAAACTTATCAGGGCATAACTTTGTAATCGCAGCATTAAATATAAAGGAAACAGTTTAGAAATATGATAGTCAAATTTACAACTGAGAAAACTCGGGAACCTGATCCAACTGAGTTAAATAAGCCCTTATTTTGTTTGTTAGTTAAAACAGTTCAGAATTGAAGCCAGTAATAAAATATCTGAGAGAAGAGTGCAATTAAGACAGGGAAATATAAAAAGGTGATATTTACAGAAAAAAACTTAAACTCAGCTGTTAAAACAGGAAATGTAAGTTGAAGTTTAAGTAATGTTTTCGAGTTAAGTAGTGTCTTGGACTTGAAGGTGTTTAAATTTTTTAAGCGTGGCTAATTTATAATAATATGTTCTCACTAATATGTGAATTCCATTACGGTTACATAA